AGCTGAGGCCTGTGGAAATGTGGTCTCTTCCTTCAGTGACGTCACCAGCAGGCCAGGAGAAAAGAGCTTTCGTATTTCTTCTGCGCATGTGCTGCTTCACCCATTCTCACCATCTTCTGCTGGGGCACTTCAGACCCTGCAGCTCTCTGACACTGCTCTGGAGGCTGTGGGGTTGGGTTCTGTGTCTCTGAAGGTAAATATGAGAATGAAAGGGGAGACCCGTGGTCCTCAGGGGATGAGTGGGTTGTGTGTCCCACCACTTGAAGTAGAAACCTTGGTGGATTTGTTTGGGCCAGACCTGATGTGCCATTGTGAGCTGAGGGTCCAGGCCAGGCCAGGTGGGCAACACTAGCACTGGGGTCTGCAGATCTGGGTCTGTCAAAGGGGTCGCTCAAGCTGTGCTTTCAGTGATTGCTTTATCAGAAGAAGGTGCGCTGCCAGGACACCAGGTACTTTTGTCTAGTTGTATAAAAGCTGGTTCCTGAAGCTGAGCAAATGAACAGGGGAAGATTTTTTCAGAGCATGCATGTGGGAGGTCTGTAGTGTGAGTTCACATTACAGCTCTGACTCTGAAGCATGTGGGCAAAGTTATTAGCCCAAATAACATTCAGTTTACCCATCTGTAGGTTGTTGAGCATATTAGCAATACTAGAGACATGTCCCTGGATTCCCAGAGAAATAATTGTGGTTTGTTTAGACCAAGAGTTACTATGTTCCTATGTGCAGTTGTATTTGTGGGATTTCTTAGTGCCTATTCAGGAAGTGGAATATCTGTTCCAGTCTGATACTGTGCAGCCTGCCTAGCATTCCTGGTTTGAGTTTACAGAAGATCACACAGGACCTAGTTTCCCAGGACAGTGACTTCTAGGAGAGAAATTTGGGTGATAGATGATGGTCTGGTTTTCTTTGGAGTAAAGGAGGTTTACAAAGTTTGAAGGAAGGCACCTTATGAATACTCATTTCACATGAAAGAACACTCCTAAGGCCTGGGCCCTCTCACTAACACTTCAGAGCAGAGGCAAAAGAGCCCCAGAAAGGGCAAGACGCTGGCTTTCCATGTCCCAAGCAATTATTGATCCTACTGCTTACAGTGAACAAGAGTTGAGTGGTACTACATTTTCTGGAAATTATCAATGACTTGGTGATATTGCAAGGGTTGAACCATTTCCTGAAGGGAGAGGTGAGTCTGACTGATAATGATAGACAAGGGCCAAGAAAATGTTACTTATTGGAGGGGTCGTGAAGATGTGGAGTGGAGCACATTGAGACCCTGTCACAACTGAGACAACCTCTGCCATGCTCTCTAAACACACTTCTATTTTTATTTATTTAGTTTTAACTTTCAGACATCTAGTTCTACAATTTCCCCTCAATGATTGGTTTTAGAGCTTGAGATCTCTTAAACCTAGTCTATCACCCAATTTGGCATCTAGAGATATGCTTGTGATCCATCAGCCTGAGGTCTTTCTGCTTTTAATTAGTGTTAACAGTTTTGCCACAACTCAAAACAAATGTTTCTTTTTGCCATCACTTTTGTGACAGTGAAGTCAGCTTGAGATCATTTTTGTTACTTAGAAGTCAACATACATATATTGCCTTAAAGTGCCTTAAACATCCATATCTATTTTTAATCCCAGCACTTTCTGGAGGTTGTTTGAATATAAAGAGTTGATAAGTGTTTTTCCCTAATGTCAGTTATCTGTTCCTAAAAATCATAAATTGTGCACGAAAATAATAATCCTATTTTCCATTTTTTGAGATGGGAAAATCAGACTGTGCCAGGTTTCTGCTCAAAACCCAGAAAAAGTAAATAAAACACAGCACAGTGCTCCCAGATAAGTGTCAGAATTATGTTATGATGTAAAAAAAGTTAAGATATGTTCTTTTAATCTTCAGGAAATGGCTTTTGTTTTTTGCACATAGCTTCAACCACATTGAAGTTTATTCAGTTGATTATTGTGTGTGTGTGTGTGTGGTTTTCAAAACTTCTGCATGTGGTTATAAATTTCTACTTAGTGTATTCGACATGTAATTGAAAAGGGTCTCTCGCACTCTTCAAATGGGTAAGGATGTTGACTCTCACATGCTTAGATATATCAGTCTTTCTTGTGTAAGAAATCAACAAAAATGTATTGGCTTAAAAAGAATCATTCAATTTAATCATCTTTCTATGGATCAGAATTGGGCTGAGTTCAGTTGGGACCTTCCTCTGCTGGTGTTGTCTGGATTACAGATGAGGTTGTAGTCACCTTGTGGCTTGACTGTGGATGGTTGGTTCGAGATGGCTTTGCTACATGTCCTGTGTGTGCTGACTCTAGGCTAGATGTTCTTTCTCCAACAGAATAGCCCCAGGCTTCATCCAAATATGAACGCTTCTAAGAATGCAGGCCCTAGTGGCAGGTACTTCTTAAATGTATGTTTTCATCACATTTACTGATGTCCTCTTGGCCAAAGCAAGTCCACTGGCAAAGCCCATGTAGTCAGAGGGGATTACATGAGGGTGTGGATAACTGAAGGTTTGTCAATTGGAATCATTACTGAAACAGTATACCACAAGAAATGTAATTATGTAGTTTTACTTTATAAATTTGGGTGAAAAGTGTTGCATTGCAACATGCATATGTTCCAGAATATTTACATATATAAAAGCTAGAAGCGGCATAATGGAAACACTCATTTGGATTCCTGTATTGAAACACTGTGTTAATAGAAAAATAGATCATATAGCCTCAATTTTCTAATTGGTTGCCTTTTATCTATTTTTTGGTTTTTTGGACCAATTTCTCTGGCTGGATATTTTAGTACTCTTATGAATAAAAGTAGGGAGGGTGAACATCTTGATCTTGTTTCTGATCTTCCAGGAAAAGATTTTAACTTTTCACCATTTCGAATGGTTTTAGTTTGGGGTTGCCATATGCGGCATGTAACGTGTTAAGGTACTTTTCTTCCGTTAGGTTAGAAAAAAGTACAGTAGAGAATAATAATCTCCAAATATGTTGAGTTTATTCATGAATATAAAATTGGATTGAAATCTGGAATGCACAGCACAACAAGCCATGAAGGCATTCTGTGAGGGAAGGGTGAGAGAAGCTTTTATTGGCACTGCCGTGAGCCATCCTGTTATAGGGAACGGCATGGGAGCCTGAGTGACACCCCTTGCTCTGCAGGCTGCAAGCGGGTCCCATGTGTGTGGCACGGCTCCATGGAAGTTCTTGTTTGTTCACCTTTGGTTGCTTCACAAGGCTTCCCAGAATTAAACAGCCTAGCCTTTTGGCTTAGTATGGCTTTGGGAAATTCCATGGAGTTTCTCAAAGGACATGTTAAAATACATCAAAATTAACTGGTTTATTTAAAAAGGCATTGTCAGTTCTAAAGGTGTTCTTGATGCATGTTCCTGGTATGGGTTGGGTCCATTTAATTTTGTTATTAACCTTCCTTGTTAGTGATGTGTGCAGGAACCCATTGTGGCTGTGGTCATGCTCTTGTACGTGTGGAATGAAGTTATTATGTTGGACTTCAAGCCACATCCCCCATGGAGCCAGTGGGTCTGGGTGCAGTGATGTTTATAAATAATTGATCATCAACCAGCTACAGATTTCTTGGTTTCTCCCACTCCCACAGTTTCACTTGATTTACCAAGAACATGTTGTTTCTTTAGTAATAATAAGAATGACATAGTGTGTTTTTGTTAGTCTGAGTAGGATCATTTAACTTTTCACTTTGTCCCCTGTGCTGTTCCCGAAGTCTATTGGCAGGGAAATTAAAGGTATAAACATTGTGATTTTGATTATAAGTTAAAATGATCAATATAGAGTATAAGCAATATTAAATTGCTAACCATAACTAATGAATGTCATTAAAATCAAGTATAGTAAGTACAAGTAAGATTTGAAAAGGGTTAAATTGTAAGTTAAGAAGGTTAAGAATTATACTTTAAACTAAAAGTCTGGTGCTCTTTAAAGCCAAGCCTGCTGCTGTTGTATAGCTTCCTGGCCACGAGCCACAGGGTTTGGGGTGAACTATTGATGCATGAGTAGATGTTTTTGTCACAGCGTTAGTGCCTTGGAACGTTTTGACCTTTCTTTTTCAATAGAATCAAAATGAGAAATGTTTTGATTAAAAGATGAATCATTATGTAAAAGATTAAGTACAAACATATAAATAAAGCAAGATTGTTGTGGTTGTCATCCACGCTTGCACTACAGATCTGTGGTCTGTCTCTTTCTTTCCTCGCTGATGCCACACCACCTATTCAGGTCCAATGAATCCTGTGGAGCTGGTCTCCGGCAATTGGCACTAAGGGAAAGTTTACCTAAGCAGCTTGGAAACAGAGCTCATTGGTTTTGGAGGCTCAAGTCACATTTGTCAACAGTTCATTGGTTGAGATGCTGTTACTGGGCAGTTTCTTTCCAGAGCATCTAATCTGAATTAGTGCAATGGCAAACAATGTTTAATGATCAACTTTGTTCCAGAAATGTGTTTGTACAAAGCTGGAGATGCATGGAAGATGTGAAGGGATTTCTGATGGGTTTTTAGAAGGTCCTTGGAAAAATTCCTACCTCAAACAAGCAAGCATGAGCCTCCCTCTTTTGTTGTTGGGAGCCTGCAGCCCCACACCCCTCCTTGTATGGCCGTGCCTGCGTGACAACCTGCTTGCATCAGATGGCCATGCTTACATGATAGCTGCCTCATAATCTGTTTGTGCCAGGAACTCTGTGTTCCCGGCTGTGCAAGTTTACTCAAGAGTGACCTTTCATCTTCTTCCGAGTCTCTGCTCTGTTGTAAAGACCTTGGGCTATGCTTTGTTTGGAGTATCCTCTCTCTGTTTCTTCTCAAGATCTTATCGCATCCCTGCATTCCTGACTTCTTACAGCATGCCTGTTTTTTATTTCCTATATAAGCTGTAACTTTTAAACCAATAAATGAGACTTGATCAGAATACTGTCTTGTCTCCATTTCTCGCATCTCTTGCCCCATCCAATTCCCACTCCCCCCTCCAGGGTCTGTGTTGAATATCCTGTGGGTCAGGACATTTTTGGTGCCCAAACGTGGGGCACTGGATACGGGGGACACCGTGAGGAAGACAGCACATCAGAGGGTCGACCACTGAAAATGAAAGAGTAAAACCTTCGTCTGCTGCGGGAACCTGCCGCGTCAGGATAAGGTGAGTAAGCATGCCTGGTAATGGGACAAGAATTAAGAATTAAGAATTAAGAATCAAGAATTAAGAATTAAGAATTAAGTTGTCATGA